GGAGAAAGAAGAGAGACATATGTGTTCGTCGGGCATTACCATCACCATGTAAATAAAGTCGAATACGCATTTTATAACCAGTTGGTGATGAGTAAAAATGTGGTGAGTAGATACTTGTTTGTCTCTCTGAATTCACTCTCTGGTCTATGATAATCACGTAAGAAAGAAAAAAATTAGTTTTATTAAATTTAGTGAAATAAACTTCTTGCTTCATAGCCTCTGTTGTATATGATTACTAAATTCTCGAATGCCTTAAAACCAGCATTATCGACGAAAATGCGTCAATAATTTGCATTATGAGTGACACGAAGATGCGTAACATGTTTTAGTTACAGTAAATTGCTATAAACAGGTAGCTTTTCGAACTCACTCTCACAATACCCGCCTCCACCCCCCGCCTCCTGCGAACACTGTCAACTACTTATTACCATTTATTACTTTGATTCTGTTTTGCATGTTAACTTCATTTTACACTTTACTCAAGTAATCTGAACTCTAATGTCACTTTAGTATTTTGCCGTAACACAAATTTCGTTTGGCACTTAGAGTAAGTGCAAAACATTCTATTTGCAAGTGCATTTTCGATTTCGGATAATCGATGTTCAATCGAAATCAAAAATGGCTTACTCTAAATGCCAAACGAAATTTTTGTTACGGCAAAATACTATATTTTCGGGTAGCTCGAATTTCGAGTTACTCGGTTCGAGTTTTCGAATAAGCTCGGTGCGTACCTAGTCGGAAACATGGATAGATAATGCTCGACATTCACACCATTAGTTTTGCACCATATGTCAAGTGACATAATTGAAACAAAATAGAAATTATCATTTCTAGGTGATTTCATGTTATAGAATATAATAAAAAAATTAGGGGTGCTACTTTAATTTTACTAATTATTCCATTACTTTGTAAAAGTAATAAACGTTTGTTACTTATTACCGGTAAAAAGGTAATAAATCTTGTTGTTTTATTATTTATTACGTCTTTATGTAATAATTTTTCATCATTTTACTTATTACCATTTATTACTTTTCTTCTTATCAGTAATAAGTAAAGTAATAAAAGATTATTACTTATAGTATGCAGTAAAACTATGGAGAAAATTATGAATAATTTAGTAAGAGTTCGTAAAGAAGTTTAGTGCTTTTTTTTCTGGAATTCTTCACTAAGTGTGCACTGTATATTTCAATATTTTCATTTTTCATGCCCAAATCCTTAAAACAGCTTTCACGTTGTGTACCAATTTGGAAAGTTTTCTTTTATATCAAATAACGTTTTTTATTGTATATATATATTTCTTTTATGTGATAATTTATACCTTTAAATTTCGGACTATGCGTGGTTTATTTAGAAAATAACTTTGCACAGCTACTTTTTTGCTTTCTGCACAAAAGCACTGTTAGCGAACTCAAATACAATGACAAAGTAGTCTTTTTTCTTTAACTACACGAGTTTTATAAAGCTTGATTCGGCAAGTAGATATTGAGGAAGAATATTTTTTGATAAACGCATATGAGCTTCGTTCAACGTTTTCATTCAGCAGTTATTCTAGAACAGTTCATTAAATAGACAGAAATTTCTTATTCGTCTTCTATCAAGTAGACAAAAGCTCATTTTCTTCTTATGTCCTCATTTTAGATGTATCAAAAATGTCATTTTTATCGAAAATAAAGAGGCCCCAAACAAAATTGACTACTAGTATCAGTCAAACTTTAATAACAACACAATCAGAAACAACTCTTTCCTCACCATCATCGGCATCAGCCACATTCAATTCAACTACACCTTCACAGAATGACGACGATCCAATATTGAAAAATTTAAATCCTCAACAATTACAAGCAGTTACATGTGATAATAATCAATCAACATTGGTTTTAAGTGGAGCGGGTAGTGGTAAGGTAAGTTAGCTTCTTACTCTGGTTCCTATATAACAGATTTTCTCGTTCTTATAGACACGTGTATTAACGACACGTATTGCCTATTTGATTCGTGAACATTCTGTTAAATCAGATGAAATATTAGCCGTAACATTCACGAATAAAGCAGCATTAGAAATGAGAGGACAAATTACAAAAATGTTAATTAATATGGGTCATATTCGATTAAGTGACATGTGTTTAGGTAAGCCAAAACAAATTGCTATCTAGTAGATGTAAGGATCGAGAGAGCACGAAGACGTTTTTTAAGCACATTTTTAAAGAATGAGAAATGAATGATTCTGAATAAAGTTTTTAGTACTATTATCCGCTCCAGAAGTCCAGGCACTCGATTGTTTTCTGAATAATTTTTGATAGGAACAAGATGGAGACCTGCGGTTTTCGTCATTCGAAAGAGGAGACTTGGATGCATGTTTTCATAACTAACATTATTTCTAGAATAGTTTTTGAAATATCCTAGGAGATCTTTGGAAAACTAGGTCGTACTCTTAGAAACGGACTGATTCTGATATTCTTCCTTTTTTCAACTGACTATCAAAAAATAAAACCAGAAAAAAACACACAAATCTATCTCTTGACTTAACGAACGAACTTAATATCTGGTATTTGCCCCTTAGGCCATATGTTTCTTCTTCTGATCATCTGTGTTATGTCCTGCGATTTCTCGAGTTACATATAGATATGTGTCGATTATAAATAATGGAAAATAACCGACGGTTTACCGATTGGTTATTCAGTTACTGTAGTGGTCTAGAAACAAAAGATTGATAATTTGCTAGACTTAGACACTGTTGTCATGTTTTGATGTTATTTCATGGTTTCTAATCTTTTCTGATTAGGCTATTTAGTGAACAAAAAGGTTCAGAAACTATCATTTATCTAATAAATGCTTTTTCTTCAAAAGACAAACAACGATTATCAATACTGACGGGTGGGGTATACAGAATAACCCTCGTAGTATTTTCTCGATATCTCGTTCAGTTTTGAGCGTGTGATACTAATCTTTTTTAAAAAAGATTCACCGTCGAATTCTCTACAAAACTATTTACTTCTTTTATTTATAATTTCACTTTAGTTCTTGATAATGAAAAGTAAAGTTCTTCGAAATCTAGTATTTTCTAAACATCAAAACTGTGATGTTCCAACAAAGATATGTCGTGATTTAAACGGTGCTATTAGTCTTGAAACAGTTAAGAAATGGTGCAAAATGATCGTCGAGACCGGCTGCTGGATGTCGACCGTACAAAAATCGTATCGAGCCGTTGTTCACCGATCAACAAAAAGTCGAACGAATCAAATTTACAAATTGGACACTAAACAATCTTCGAAAAGAACAAACAATGCGAATTCTTTTCTTGGATGAAAAAATGTTCGATTTAGACGATATGTACAATGCTCAGGATAGTCAAGTATGGACAGTCAACTGAGCTGCAGCTGATAAGAATGGTGCGATAAAATAACACGCTAATTTCCTGAAAAAGTGATGGTTGGGCTGAGAGAAATTGAGAAAACACTGCGAGGATCACTCTTTATGCCGCACCCGTTAATGAGGGCACCTGCTCAGATGTCCAACTCCGACTTCAATGATCTTTTACCTGTAGATACTCTATAGTGAATTTCTATTTGTACTTATCTCTCCCTATTGGCAGTTTCAATAACTCTTCCGGATTACGTTTTTACGTAAAATAAAACTACAACATGATAAATATAAGACGAATCATTGTCTAGTATTATTGAGTAAATTAAATTGAAACATAACCATAATTCCTTTGACTGAAGGTCTAGGGTCATGTGAAATACATGTCGGCGTCGGTCTCCGCATAGTATAAAAATCCAATAACTAGTAAGTTTAAGGTTCTAAGGGGTGATAATTATACAGTGTAGGTCATCGACTATGCCGACGCAGTAAATGACTGTGAGCAACCTCTAGGATCAGTTCTACTGAAAAATTTATTTTGTCGTTGCTTTGCATCTTTTTTTTGGCTACCGGTCAATTTGTCGCCGAACTTTTCGTCGCACGGATATTTAGTCGCATCACTTTTGTCTCACGGTCTATCGCACGACTGTTGTTTAACGCTCACAAATTTCAAACGTCTAATATTCAAAAGCTCTCAACTACAAAAGGGACACCCATGGTTTTTCACGAGGGTTATACCTATACATTAGAACAATGTACCGATATCAAACTCATTTTTCGGTGTCAGAATCGTGATTGGAAAGGTAAGCTTCAGCAAACAATAGAATGAAATAGATATTACTCTCTTATTGAATTTCTTGATATATCAGTCAAACAATAACAGCACAAACAGAGAAACCACTAGTTGATCGTGTTCACAATGTCACATTTGCTGCAGTGCTATTCAACTATTCATCTAAATAGTTGGTATCATAAGTATTCACCAAACGTTTAATTCGATTATCGCGTTTTCGATACGACGCCTTTTTTGGTTTGGGTTCATGTCCTTGACGAACTTGAGCGATATCAACTTCAAATTTCGATTGTTCTCGATGAATTTTGTTGGCTAATTTGGCAACTGTAGGATGACTGATCGAAAGACGCTTAGCCAGTCTTCAACCGATTTATTTGAACGCGGAAGATCATCGACAACACGTTCATAAATATCCTAGAATAAGGAAATTGTGTTTTTTTTCGACCGATTCCTAAAAACAAGAGTTTCATCACATGTACCATTTTAGTCTGTGGCTTACGTACTTTTTTTTGTTCATCAATTCATATTTTTTCAAAATATTCGACAAGTTCATCCGCATCGTCGTCAAATTCTCCAGCAACCAAACCAAATCCTTCGACAATCTCAACGATTGGAACCAACACCAAGGCAATTAAATTTTTACATTCAAACAAAATGTTCATCAAGCTGATATTTCATGGATAAACCTTGTGCGTTTGAATCTGATTCTATACCCATTGCCCGAAATCGAAAAGACAGCCTGACCGACGAATCACAAATTTAATAGAGAAAACGTTCAGATGAGAACAAGGTTTACCTTTGTGAAGGACATTCAGGAGCATTGTTTTGACTGATCTGATTGTGCCTACTTCAAAATCTGTCAAAATTAAATCTGGATCAAAATCGTATTCTGCTAATATTTGTTTAAAAAATTTGTTGTAATCGGTGGCACTTTTTCTGATCAGTAAACCATAAACCAGTGGACTAATCTGAGACGTAAGCAACGCATGCAGTGTGAACAATTGATAGAAATACACCTGAAAGAGAGAACTACTAGCTGCTAACAAGCATCATTATATTTAACTCTTACTTTGAATGTTCCGTCAGCAAACCAATGGTTGCTATTATTCAGCAGCGATAAATTTGTTCCAGTCGTAAAAATCACCAGCTTTTCGACTTCATATAATATGAAATCTCCACCACGACGCGTTAGTTTCAAATTAACTGCCAACCGACTGTCAGGATCTAATGCAATTGGTTTATGAATAGTTTTCATCAATACGTCACTTTTTGACAAGTTATCAGCTGCACGCAAAGGAAATGATCGTAACGCATAGTGAAGATGTGCACGGGCACCGTTTTCTTACCCGTACGCGACTCGAACATTTCTTTTTCCACCCGCCCCGTGAACTTTGTATTCGTACCCTACTTATGCCTCAAACTTTTTTCCTTTTCATTTTTCGGCTGGAGATGTCAAATTGTCATTACGTTCTCAAGTAAATCTTTTCTAAAACTTCATGTATTTTAGCTAAAATGTTGTATTTTTTCTCTAAATTTTGTGTGGCTTTTCCACCAAAAACTTCCGGTTTTCCGGTAAATTAAAAAAAGCGGAATCCGTATCCGTACCCGACAACTTCGTAGCCTTACCCAACCTTCAAGTTGGGGCGGCTTGCACATTTCTAACGCAGAGTGTAGAATGGCAATTGATGGTTTATCAGTAGTAGCTGCTCGAGTTTTGATTTGATTATTGAGCTCAAAGACTGGACGATGATCTGGATTTGGTACATGTGAATGTGCAGTGGGTTGTGATAAAAACAAATCTGTAGCTAGATTTGTGTGACAACGTCCTTTGAAATGACAAACATAGGAAATATATACAGTCATTCGCCGGCATACGCTTACCTTTGTAATCACGATTCTGACACCGAAACATGAGTTTGATACCGGTACTTCGTTCTAATGTATAGATGTAACCATCATAAAAAATCATGGGTGTCTCTTTTGCAGTTGAGAACTTTTGAATATTAGACATTTGAATTTTGTGAACGTTAAAAAGGAGTAATGAGGAGAACTCAAACTTCATTATTAAATCAAGCATACAGTTATTAGTAGAGCGGATTGAGCGGCTACTTCTGTTATCACCTTTTTATTCCCGGTCAATAGCATCAGACGGAAGCAAAAGTGAAGCATCTATTTCACTCTATTGATGGTCCTTTTCATCTGACGGGATGAATTATTCCGTTCGACAAAAAATTATGTTAACACAAATCGTGCGACAGATGTGATACGACTAAATGTTCGTGCGACGAAAACATCGACGATTAAATAACGAAAAAATCTGCGACTAATTGACCTAGCACTTTTTTTTCGTTTTTATCACTTGCTTATTATCCCTTAGACTCTTATACCTTACTAGTTATTGCATTTCTACACTATGCGGAGACAGAGGCCGACATTCACTTCATATGAATTTAGACATTCAGTCAAAGGAATTATGATTATGTTTCAACTTATTTTACTCGTACCATTAATGCTACGTCTCGTATTTATCATGCCGATATTTCTAGTCGGTGATAGTAGTTTAAATTACTTTTTAGTTCTACCGTTGTAGTTTTATTTTAAATAAAAATATAATCCGGAAATTCATTGAAACTGTCAATAGGGGGAGATAAGTACAAGTAGAAATTCAATAAAAAATAAACAACTTAAAGTCTTCTTATCTTATTAGACTTGTATGTAGTAGATCAAAAAATATATAAAACTGAAAATACTCTTCTAATTCCTATCCTTGCTTACATGTTAAAGCAAAACACGGGATGTTCAAGTCATACAGTATTTCTATGTACTTTCTTTGGACTGGAATACAAGTATTTTACGTGTTCTAACATATTGATACTCCATTGTTGAAGAATATCGGCAATTGATTGAATTTTGGTTTTTATTACATCTGAAGCCCGTGCCCAATAACCTCTGTTATTTAACGTCAATGCAACAAATTCAGCAAATTCTTTATCTTTCAAATTATTCGCGATAAAATCCATTAATTCATACACGTTTTTTAATGGTTGTTTTCTTCTTAACGCTTTACTTTCCCAGGGTGCAGAATTAACACCAATTAATAAACCTTTACCGTCACCCCAATCCATTACTCCACAATCACTACTATTCATGTATAATGGTTCACTAAATTCGTAATGCCATTCATTTTTTTTCACTGGATCTGTTTGATTAGAAAAAACTTTGCGCATTATGTCTAATCCACCATCAATTTGGCCTTCTAATTGATCGTCACTATGACCATAAATATTTGTGATCACATAAGCGATTGGTACTTTAGCACTTTGCAAATGTTTTAAAATTTGTATCACTATTTTGGTATCAACTCTGCCAGAACCACTAGCACAGTAGATAATAAATAACGGATCAATACTCTTGCGTTTGATTTCATTCAGCATATTATCAACATCCTCTGAACTTGACCATTTATCAATGCCTTTTGTATCCCAAAAACGAAATGTTAGCTTGCCACTATTAAAGCGAACTTCTTGAAGTGTTTCTGTAACATGATCTAACTGAGACGATGTGGGAATATCTGCTTTTGTGATGGCTTTCAAAAGACACGATTTACCCACGCCTGAACGACCAAAGTTTAGAATATCGATTGGTGCTAGTCTGTTAAGAACAACACCGTTCGATAAATTGTGTCGACTTGCTGCTTCACGTACTATTTCACCCAATTTGTCTTGTATGGCGTCTAGTGGGGTCCTGTCTGGTTCAATATTTTCTTCAACAATTGAAAATCGGTTCGATTCTATGTAATCATCATTCGAAAGTAGATAAGGATCACTTGTTTTTTCATGATCTTCTTCTTCTGCCATTCCTAGCTAATGAAACAACGTGAGAAGACAGAAAATATCAAAATCACTTCCAATGTGATCCAGAGACACAGGCTTCTCTGAAAAAAAAACCTTCACCAGAGACTCTACTGTAAATTCATTTTCTTACAAACTGCCCGTTCCATATCCTGTCGGTGCTCCGTAAACCTCTGTTCTGTTACTAATAAATTTCATTTATTCTTCAAAATTTATCGTAAACAGTACTACATTTAGTTTGCTATTTTCTCAACTGTGGAAAAATAAAACTTATAGTTATACTAACTTACGCTCTGAAATTACCTTAGCTTAATATAATGCTTTAAAAAAACATATGAGATTGTTGATATCAAGAGATCATCCACATACAACATCTAATGAACTCTTACTTTTTTAAGTCATAAAGCATCTTCTTCTAGTGTGCTAAAATGGAATACCCTCTTCCTTCCACTTCGTAGTTGTTGACCTACTATACGAATATTTTCACATGTAATTCTTTATTTTACTAAGTCATTCATCAGTGCAGGTATATATTCTTAGCAAAGGGCAAAGATAAGTAAATATTACAGCAGTTAGATGTTGACATCAGAATGAAGAACAAAAAGAAATTTGTCGTCAGCTAGTATGTGTGAGAACAAAAGAACTTTTTTTAACTAAATAATCAAATTGGATCTGAAAAACTGTTATCAAGTTATTTATCAGTAGCAATGTGAGTCAATTTTATCGTCAACATGCAGTTGTTTAATTAGTTGTCCACAATCTTCAATTCAGAAATGAATGTTAGACATTTTTCTACATTGAGAAAAGTCAGCATCGAAAATAACTTCAAGTGTCTATTGGTGTAATTGCTGAATACCTGAATGATTTTTCTTCCAATTTTAAGAGAGGTTTCGGGACTCCATTGAGAATTTCGGCACAGAGCGATTTTATGCTGAAAATTAACTTATACTTTTATTACATCATTCGATTCTTTGTCAAAAAGTGGGGTTATGAAAACATTTGCTAGCTTCTAGGACTTATTTTCACAGAGTTATAGGTGTTTGAAAGTGAGGGTGTTCGGAAAAGCGTCATCTGCAGCGTTTTGCCTATA